TGCATGCAAAGGCCACGTGGTGGGAAGAAGCTTGATGCATCTAGAAACAGATTCAAGGGAAAAGTGGTAAGAGAAAAATTAGAGGGAGAGGACAGACCATGTAGGCGTTGTAGGCCATTCAAGGATTTTGACTTGATCTTAAGAGTACTGGAAACCTAACGAAAAGTTTTGTGAGGGGGCAGTCACACAGCTCTGACAAATGATTATTTACTATCTCATATCTTCTCACAACCATCCACCACCCTAGGTGGTTCATACTCGTCAGTCCAGCCATGCCAGGAAAACGAGAAGACTAGCACTTATTGAACTTAGAAGAACCTCAGAACAGATTGCTGAGTTGAGTCATTAGGTTTCCATGCCATCCTGGAGCATATACATGGTGCCAAATAAATGACCATTATTTTGAATTAGGAATAAACAAAATAAGGCTCAAAAACCAACTCAGCCCAAAAAGGCATAATAAGAGAATTCAGCAAAGTTAAGGGGAATTGCCTTCATCTTAGAACTCTGTTTTCTCTAATGTTTTGCTCCCCTCTCTCCGCTTACCCCTAGATGATCAATGACAGCTGTCTGAGCAAAGTTCAAGGGGGAAATAAAGCCAACAGCAAAAATGAACACAGCCCTGGCTTAACCAGTGGTTAAAACTCAACCAAGTTAAATGTACCTTTTCATCCTTTTTTTTTTTCTCTTTCAGTAAGATCTAAAAAAATTTAGTGTAATTTGCAGCAAACTAGCCAGGAAATCTCCATCCAAGAAAAAAAAAATTTTTTTAAATGATTACTCATTGATTATTCTGGACTATTCCTAGTAAAATGCCTGGGTATTTTCCAGTACCTTCCATCACATGTAGCAAGTCCTTTAGTGACCCAGCCTGCTATGTCTAAACAGCAGATATGAGCAATTTTCTTCAAGGACAAATACAATCATAAATAAGAAAAGCAATCTAGAGGGCTGAGCTGGCCCCATCCATCCTTGTCCAGGAATACCTGAAGGCTCACAGCACCAAAACAGGTGAGACCTCCTCCAAATGACACTCCCCTCAGAGGAAAGGGAAGGACTATTCCAACTCACCCTTGAACTCTTTTTGGACATAAGCCTTACCTCTGACCTGATGTCTGAGCTGCTTCTTTTTTACCCTACAAAAATTTACTTTAAATTTCCCAAACCAGATCCCTTCGGGGATCCACTGGAAATCTGACCACAACTCAGCCCAGCATTGAAACACTGAAAGATCAGTCCCAGCGAATTCTCCCCAGCCCACATCTGGGCAACAGTAAGGATTCCTTAAATGGCCTGTTGTCCATCATATGTCAACCCTGGCTAGAGCAGGCAGGAGTACAGAAGATTTCTCAGGGAAGGAGCAGCCAGCCAGAGTCAGACTGACAGGGAGTGTTTCTAGATTCCCCTGCCCCTTTTCTGTATCATGCCTCTTCTTTCTCTGTTTTCTCCTCTTTTTTGCTTTCACTGATTTCCTCCCTTTCTGTCCTCCTCTTCTGTGTCCCCCTCTCTCCTGAGGGCTGCTGTGTCTCTGGCATTCTCAGAGGCATCACTCAGGCACGTCCCACCGAGCACATCATCTAGCGTGGCACATCAGAAACAGAGCTTCCATCGCACTGATCCATCATTGCCCTCTGCAAAGCTGGCTCAGGCCATCCGTCACTGAGGTGGGCCAGTGAACCAAGCAACCTTGTCAATGCAGGCAGGAGGAGTCCTTATATTTTCTGAGAGGCAGGGAGGGTCCTATGAGTGCTTTAAGAATCCTTCTTACAGGTGCCTTGGGAGTAACTGCCAGGGAACAGCAAAGGGTCTTTGACATGCAAACCATTACAAGCAAGGTTGGTTCTAAGGGACAAGGTAAACTCATTCTCAGTGTCCACCCAGGCCAAGCCAGTTCAATTGAGCTGACTTTTTAATATTAGGAACTTGGGTACCTAATAGCTTTCTACAATAATGGTGCTGAAACCCCGGTGAGAACCACTCAGGATATTTAATACAACTCATTCCTTGGTGACAGACTAAAGTGGGAAATAACTTGTCTTTGGAGTCAGATGGACCTGGGTATGAACCTCAGCTCTACCAATTATAAGAATGTGTGACTTTGGGCAAGTCTCCTGACCTCCCTGTACCTCATTTTCTCACCCTAATGACATGGAGTAATGAGGATTAAATGAGCATTAGATGAGATCATGTACAAATCTCAAATAGTCTTCCTAAATTGACAGCCCCTCCATGTTTCATAAATGTCTCCAGGAGAGCTGTTACTGACTAAAGCGCCACTATCCACTAGGCACTGCAAAGTATTTCATTTCATCACCATAACAATCAAGCTAAGATGACATCATTTTCTCCATTTTTTTCCATAAAGGCAGAGGCACCATGCTCCAGCTCTATTCTAATGAACCAATCGGTAACCACAAATATGAAAGCCCGTGTTGGCCCAAAACCTCACTGGAGGGGACAGGCAGTGGTCACCTGGGAAAAAGGATGGTCTGAGCCACAAGAAGAGGCCAGAAGGCCAGCAGTATGGGCTGGTGGTGCTCCCAAGTCGCTTTCCTGGAGATTCCCAAAGGTGTTTTCCCTTCCTCGAGCTGAAACATACAGAAGTTCCCTCACTTCCTCCATTCCCAACAACAATTAACTAAAGTAGCAATAATAACAGCCACTGCCACCTGTAGAACAGGTACCATGTGTGAGGATCTGTGTTTCATGTGCTTTTTCTCATTAAAGCCTGAAAGAAATGACCCCGTGAGGTCAGCACTCACATTTTACAAATGGGAAGCTCAGGCCTAAGGAAAATTAACAACCCACCCAAGCTTAGGAAAGAGTAAATGGTGGGGCCATGATGTGAACCTGTACAGATTTCAGAGCCTATCCTAATAGCCTGCTGCTGCCAGAGGATTTGGAGTTTTCACCATGCATTTCTCAAATCCCATTTCAAAAGTGGGTGTTTTCATTCTTTCCAATGCTGCCTGTCTGAATCTTGTTATTTCTGGTTGTTTACTAGTAATCAAAACATATTGACAAAACTGTGTAACCATAACCCCACTGTGGAACAAATCTGGTGGCAAGTAATACTTCCACCTGACTCCCATACCCTCCAAAGCAGTCATTTCCACATTCTCAGTTAGGCTCACTTTGTCTTCCAGGTGGGAAGTGCTCCACAAGTGACAATGGAAAGAAAAGATGCCCTGCGCTCTGCCAGCTCCAACTTCCCAAGCGATACTGAACACACGTACCTTATGATCATTTGCTTGTTGGGGTCATAGAGAGACATGAAGAGCTCAGCGTCTTCCCCAATTCTGCACACAAAGTTTCTCACAAAGACATAGAGGCTGTGGGTCGGGGATGAGGATATCCGGGAATACATCCCATAATCTGGCTGGTCTTTTGACTGAGAAGTGGAAGAAAGTAAGAAGGAAGATGGAGAAAATTAGCCCAGCACCACTCAGAACAAGAGAAAGATGGTCCCGTATATTGAGTTACTTAGGTTGAAGCCCAGAGATTTCAGCATCACCCAGCTCTACCACTGAAAGATTCTGCAATCTGAGTCAAGTCACTTTGACTCTGTTGGCCTTGATCTTCCTCTCTTGGGAAATACTACCACTGACCCAGCCTTCCTTGTAAAGTTAGTGTCATAAAAACCACAAACTATAAAAGAAAAAATATGCTTAAGTGAACTTCATCAAAACTATAACTCTTGCTCATTGAAAGATGAATGTTGAAAAATGAAAGGGCACAGCAGAGACTGGGAGAAACTTGCAAAACAGATACCTGATAAAAAGTTTGTATGAAGAATATACAAATAACTCTTACAACTGATTAATAAGAAAAACAACCCAATTAAAATGGGTAGAATTGGGCCGGCCCGGTGGCGCACTGGAGAGTGCACCACCTGGGAGCGCGGTGGCGCTCCCGCTGAGGGTTCGGATCCCATGTGGAGACTGGTTCCCGCTC